TACCCCCGTTCCCGCCAGCCGCTCCTCATCAGGCTTGTGCTCTGGCCCCTTCACCAGCCTTGTTGCCCTTCTCCAGACACGCTGCAGCACCTCAATGTCCTGTAGTGAGGGGCCCAAAACCGAACACAGTATTCGAGGTGCGACCTCACCAGTGCTGAGTACAGGGGCACGATCACTTCCCTACAAGCACTGAAGCTAACTTTAAAACTTTTACATTCACCTATGCTATGCGCAGAATGTAGAAATCCACACACTAAATCTTTCATTCCGATGCCTACCTGTTGATCTTTGCTAGACCTGCATTATGGGTGGTGTGAACAAAACGGTGATTAAAATAAAAATACTTTAAGCCTTCTGATGCTGAGGAGACTTCCCTGTGTGCCTCCTGGTTACAGCAGTGAGTGCGAGATACCAAGCAGCCACCTTCCAAGGTGAGTGGTGCGTGCTGACTGAGATCGGGATGCTCTGTGTAGGAGAAAGCAGCGTGGGGGAAGAGAGTTAAGCAGGCAAAGCACCACAGGCTGCTGAAAGGGAGCCACTAATAGAGTTTTGTCACATGTTGAGCCAACGAAGTTTTAGTTTTGTTTTAAACAGGGATGGTGCAGAAGGACTTATCCTTTTCTTCAGCTATTGCCAAGAATGACTTAGAGACCAAGATTAAACAGATAGCACAGTGGATTGAAAAGAAATACCACGTTAAAGTTACTGTCCGGCAAGCAAAAGATAGCAATACAGACATGGTAAGTGGGCTCCTGGGAGCTGGACCAATTAATTTCATGACATATGTGTACTTGTATTAACTTCCCCTATTCAGTACTGCCAAGTTGTTTTTTTAATATATCACGTACTGCTAAAGTAAGTGAAGGTCTAGGTCCCATGAAAGTAATGGTTGCCCCATCTGAGCTGCATCTGTTCAAACACTGCAGCTCTAGCAAGGTAGTCCCATAGAGACAATTCAAATACCATGCTTTCTTAAGAATGCAGTTATAATACTGGCTTTGACATTGGAGTCTAAGACGTTCCTGCTCCTTTGCAGCACCACCTTATTAACTGGGCTGCTGAAATTTCGATAATTTTCCTGTCTATGTCTTAAGCCAGCTCACTCACTGAAAAGTTTAACAGTAAGGTTAAGAAAAATTCTGCTGTGTTTTAGCTGGATTATTTCAATAACCTAACTGTTCTTCTGAAGATGCATTTGTGCAACTGTGGCTAAGGTTAGTTTTCCACTGCTGCGTGAAAAACTACTGGTATGATGTTCCAAGACTGGCAAAGTAAACATCTATAAAGACATTAGGGAGCTGGTGGCAACTTACTAGTATAATTGGTGGACCTTGAGACTCGTCTTCATTGTCATTTGTACAAATGCCTTCTTTATAAAAAGATTCCATGTAAGATTCGCTTTTCCTTTTAATGTGTGTAGCGATTTAGGTTTCCTTGATGATTTTCTCTAATAAATTCCTGGGAAAAATTGTGATATCACTTCATCCAAAAGGAGCAAAACGTTTTATAGAAATTTGAATTCACGGGGAAAGGATAGTAGGAGGAAGAACTGGATAGGGGAGAGAGCAGAACATTTCAGGGCACAGTCCAGCTTTAGGTTGTGTTTAAATTTAAAAGCTTAATTATGAGCTTAAGAGTTCAGCTTGTTATATGAATGCACTGTATCACTCAGTTCAATACTACCATTCTGCTAACCTTAGAACAATACCACCCTTGAAGAGGAATGCCCCAATGCCCAAATCTAGTGGAAGAGGAGGGTGGGCAGGAGTCAGATGCAGTCCACTTTCACGGACGCCTTTAAACGAAAAAGGATGACTTGGGAATTCAGCCTAAGTGTTAAGAAATAGCTTAATCCCTCTGGTGACATCCCTAAACCCGCTTCTGCATAAAGAACAAATGGTTAGCAAAGGACAAGCTGAACTGCTCAAACCAGGACTAGTAAACTAGCTCGTTTTAGCTAATAGCTAAACCACAAGCAGGAGATCATGCCATTACAGAACAGCCTGAAATACTTTTCTACCTGTGTTTGTGCATTTAGTCCTATTTTTCTCCTTCTTTTCAGTTCATGCTTTTTGATCGGATTTTGGAGGCTGTGTCCGAGAAAGCCACTTATCTTTCCAAGCCAAAAGTTACTAGAGAAGGAGTGAGTACCTGTACCTTGAGACACATGTCTGACAAAGAGTTGAAAGCATACCAGAAGACAGAAAAACAGGACAACAGCGCAGTAAAGAAAGATGAAAATCAAGATCTGAAGTCAAGTGAGTCGCATCAGTGACTTTATGAAGAGGTGTAAACAATATTAATTTCTTATTTAAAAAAACCCAAAACTATAAACTTAGTAAAGTTATTGTTGAGCTTTGCACTGGTTATTCCATGAAGAATGTTGTCTCAGTTAACCTCTACTGCAGAGTCAGAATTTCAACAGCTGGTATTTCGTTTTCCATGGGCTTATCCATTGTCTTGCTTTCTGTCACAACCGCATCCTTTCCAGGCTGTGTTTTAGGAGGAATGTAGCCGCTCAGACGAGAGGCTAAGCTTCTTTTAGGACGAGAACGCTTTGCCTGGCAGAAATACATCCAGAATTAGCAACTTCACATATCTAGGGAGCAAAGACTACTACTGGGGGGCACAGGGAGAAGAAGAATTTAATGAATAGGCCAGCACTGCATTATTTAAAGGAGCTTCAGAAATTAAGAATCTCCCAAATTAAGTAGATAGCTGGCCTGTTTTCCTGCTTGAAGTCACAGTCTAAAACACATAATGTTTACCCTCCTCTGAAGTGATACGGTAAGGTTGAGAGGACTTTTTCAAGCGTATAACTTACTTTCACGTTCAGCTTTCTCTTTTCTGGATCATGTACAACTGCGTGCCTTGCTAGGCTCTGCTACAGTTACAAAGAGCATGGACAAAAAAAAAAAAAAGGTTTATCAATTCAGATTATGCGATTCAGATTAGGACAGTGTGAAAAAATACAAAAATACATACCTTCATTGCAAACACTCTTCCACAGCCTGGATAATCACAAGAGAATGGTTTTTTCTCCTCATGAAAAGAGAGGATATGGTTTTGAAGGTTAAATACAGTTGTGTAAGTTCTCCCACATCCTTCTCTTGGGCATCGGCAGACTTCCCTCTCCGCAGCATGTGTTTTTTGATGCTGCTTCAGGTAATCTTTCCGTTTAAAAGTTTTGTAACACTCGCTGCAAACTATCGGCTCTGAGTGGGAGAGAGACAGACAGAGTATAAATTAACACCTTCTTAAAGGACCTCAGAATCAAACCCTAGTAGTCCCCCAGAACAAAGCGAAAATCCACACGAAATGCATGGAACTCAGAGACTGGAAGACAATAATGCAATATGAATTATCCAGATCTGAAATCCTACACTACACCATTTCTCGTTAACTGGATCACAAAGCAAAGTTAGTATACTGAGTAGCATTTTCATCAGGTAAAGATCTAGCCAGAGTGACAACCATTTTACCAATAAAGTGTCAGTAAACAAGTTTGCTGAGGCATAGTGACAAGTTGATGAAAGGAATTCAGCAAGGACTCCTCTTCAAATTAGCAGTTTGTTCCCTATCCATTTCAAAAGTTAAGTTCTATTTACTAAAGCATTTAGAGTTTACCTGTATGACTTTCTTTATTATGCTTCAGAAGCTCTGTCCAAGTTTTTCCAGTATATGTGCAGTTTTCTTTCTTGCATGCATAGCCTGTTAGGCACAAGAGAGGTTTACAGTCACAAATGTTCTGGCAAACACAGTCCCAGTTTTACAAGGGGGAACTCCACGTCCAGCGTTTGAAAATTAAGGGCCAGTATTCCTCCTCTCCTCCCATACTGCATGGTGATGGGGCAAGAGGCAACAAGCACAAACTAGCACATGACAAAATCCTAACTGGTTTAAGGAAGAAACCGTGTATCACTGACAAGTTGTCCGGAGAGGCTGTGGAATCCCTACCCCTGGGAACATTCAAAACTCAACCGGACGCAGCCCTCATCAACCTGGTCTAACTGACCCCGCCTCAACCAGGGAGTTGAACCAAAAGACCTCCAGAGGTCCTTTCCAACCTAAATGGTTTTATGAAACTATCTCTCCTGGCTTCAGTAAAACTAATTCCTCACCAGCCATACACTTTCACTCAAATCAATGAAAATAACTGCAGTAATACGTATTATTTCTGTATAAATATTTGTTTTACATATTAAAAAAATAAGGTCTTGACCATAGAGTAATATTCCAGAGTCTAAAGAGACTCTACCATTCTGTCAAGCAGACAGGATGGTTTTCAGACGAACCACAGAAAGTCAACACTATCTAAATCCCAGGACTAGAAAGGTCAAACAACTGTGAACAAGTCCCAGTCTTAAGAAAGGAACGCAGTATGAATCGCAGCTTTTTTGGATACTCTTCCTAGTCCCTTGGGTTTGTCTGTTTTCCTAGCACTGGAAAGCACGTTAGCTGTCAATACTGCTGAAAGAATGGACAGGAGTGTAGCAGGATTAGGTCAAACATACATGACCACCTCCTGACAATTCCACTTGAATACCTTTCACCATAGGTACATTAATAACTTAAAAAATGCAAGCCTACATGGTTCTGCCAAGGCTCTGTAGGAAATCCGTGGCAGCACTGGCAACTGATCCTAACCTCTGGAGGTTCTAGGCTAGTGCCTTAACCCATCAGCCCGTCTCCAGATGTATTATTGACAAGGAAGCACATCAGAAAAAATGACTGAAGGAACGCTGAGCTCTGTTCAGCCTGCCACAAGCACATTGTAACTGAACACTGCAATGCCTTGCAATTGTATCCCATGTGACTATTCAAAAGGGGTGCTCCTGATTCGTCTGTCTGGATCACTAGGCCCAGAATACTTTCGTGCCTGTCACACATCCCTGCATACTCTCTTTCCTTTGCCAAAACATAATTAAAGCAAGGACAACTGTATTACCTTCATGTATCTTCTCGTGCCGCTTTAGTCTACTTGGTGTAGAAAAGTACTTTCCACATCCTTCATTATTACATCTAGGTATAAAGTACACTGGTTTAGTTTCTTTCACTGCATTCATGTATTTTTTGTTCTTTAAGTCAAGAACAATTACAGTGGACAAAATAACCGGAGTTTCTCCTTGCCTAGAGATCTGTTCTGTCCCTCCCGCTTTGTAAAAGTAAATTCCATAATAAGTTGCTAATAGACGACTCTGATCCCCTTGGAAAACTACAGTATGATTTCTGTGTATACAGAAAGTTAAGCATCAGTTAAAGAATCAGACCTCGTATCATCCCCATACAGTAGGCTCTTCAAACATAAAAGAGAGATGGAAAGTGGAAGGTTTAAGTGGCTTGTACCTGATCTAGCCATCAGAGCAGCAGCAGCAGAGCACTGACAGTATTTTTGTGTCTGTCACCCAGCCACATTAGTGCACTCAAGTGAAACACTCGTGTTAAGTGTGTTCCGCCTGTAAAAAATATAAGACTAAATTTTGCTTTCATCAGATCTATACTGATGTGTCATGTAAATAATGTAGTTCAATGCACAGCTTCTCAGAGTGGTGTCCAAGCCTCTCACCTTTTTTAAGCTACTTACTTCACTGTTAGCCAAGTCACTGCTTTTTACTGGAAAGGAGAGGTAGCTGCATTTTTCATTACCATGCAAGCTCTTATGCTTGTATTTCAGACTGTGTGAACTAAAAACTCTGTGTGTGTGTGTGTTTATTTTTCCTGTGGACCTGTGATAAACCTTAACAAGATGTCCAGAATGCTGAAGTTACAGAGCACCAAGACTGCTGCTCAAAACAGACTACCGAGCAAAGGACGAGTACAAGAAGTGTACTTGCAGCCATGACTACAAATTCATTCTTTTTTTTTTTTTTAAATGCAACATGAGTGAAAAGGTTGAGGAAAGGCACCTGTTTTCATCTACAATGTTTAAATTGAATTGTTAAAGTTCACTATTAAAATTATCCACCTACTTGAACGGAGGTTCATTGGTGTGGTGACTTTGATGAACTTTAAGTTGTTGGTGTTTCCTGAAAGACTTGTTACAGCCTTCAAAGTCGCACTGTTTAGGAAATTAAGTTGTCATTAGATGCCAAATAATGACAGCCCGGTCCACACGTGTTTGCTGAAATCCCAGTCCCAATATTTGAACTTACACAAGTACAACATAATAACAAGCTGAAGTATTCTACTAGATACACAAAAAGGAGCTTGCTTAGCCTCTGCTTTACAGCATCAAAGGCAATTCCTCACCACATACTGCTTCTGCTGATTCTGATGCTTGCGCTCAATGTGCTTCTTTAAGTTTGATTTTGTCCCAAACTTCTGATTGCATCCATCAGCTGCGCACCTGCAAACGAACTGCAAGTTCTTATTGTCATTCTCGACCAGTGACTTGTTTCCTAGACAGACACAAACCATCGGACAAGAGGAATACATCAAGAATAACCGAAACTCACAACCCAAACATAAAAATTCACTTTCAAGACACAAAGAGGCTAAGTTACAATGGAAAGCCACGGGAAAACACATCAGAAGAGATTTTTAACCAAACACGTAGGAATTCCTAGCTCCCAATCCATGCCGTGAAGCTACTCGGGGCTCAGTAACGGGAGCGAGCTGCCCCGCGTCCCGCCTTGCGCGCCCGCTGTCAGTCGTTTCCGTGAGGACGAGCACGAACCGCTTTCGGAACTAAAGAACCCGGTCTTACTCGAACGGCTTCTCCCCGGTGTGCGTGAGGAGGTGCCGGGCGCGGTGGAAGTCCCTGGTGAAGCCTTTACCGCAGCCTTCGTA